TCAAAGGTCACGTGGGCATCGGCGAATGAGGACACGGGATGACAGAACAACAAATTGAACCGCCCGACCGAGCAACTAATCGCGGTCAAAGGTCATCCCCGGCTACCAACACATATATTAACACACACAAAACACTATCCAACGCACAACCACTAACCCAACGCTACGCACAAATTCGCTCCCCAGTAACGCATACATGACATCACCTCGATTGGTGATGAAACGCTTGCAATCAAATTACCCAGCTCAGCGAACAAACGAACGACCAAATATATGAATGTCTAAATTCTAAATGGCAGCTGTCGAGTGAACGTCTGCGACACGTCAGGCTATACGAAGAATGCGGCACCTACTTTCAACCGGTAGACATGGCCACACTTCACAGGGACGTTCCGTGGCCCATCCGTATGTAATAAGAGTTTCATAAACGGGCCCAAAAAAGAAATGTCCCATTTCTACTGGCACAAACTGAGTACTCGTTGCCACCACAGGGCAGTTTGAGCCCTAGTGCATCTGACTATGTGCGCACTGTGAAGACTAGGGAAGATGGTAACGTGCATCTATATGGAGTCTGGAACTGAATACAAATTCTTCAGGATCCACAAGGGTGCTAAATATGATGTCTGTATCTCTATGAATCATGGCAGGTTCGTATATGTAGTCAAAGATTTGCAACATTTCCCTCGTACACACATGAAGCTGTTTGGGCCGTTTAACTGCAGATTTCATCGCACCTCGAGAAAAAAGTTGAAGAACCGTATTTTCTGCTAATAACTGAGGCTACAAGCGCGGTTGGTTCAGACTAGTTTTATTCGTGAAAATAACCGCAGTTCCATGAACCCTAAGGTAATGGACACAAAACACATTGTGACTGCCTTTACGTCTGTGGTCGTTTGATGGTCTTACCACGGTGGGGGGGACAATCTTAATAGGTCCCTGGTTGTGTCACCGTGGATCAAGTTTCAACACAGCAAATTACAGATAAGTGTGAAGAAGCGCAAATGCGATTGCCTCAGGTAACCCGTAAAAGGAACAGGCGGATTCATTTCCAAACATGAAATCATGACAATTTAACTGCCTTCGTGGTTAGTTGTTTCTTTCGTCACTATTGTGTTAAATCAACCCAATCAACTTGATCCGGATGTGTGACGATTGGTCTTATTTCTAAAATAATCCATGTTTGTTGGATTGACTGCAATCTCTCTGATCCGTTTGGTTTGCACCATGGTTTATTTTGAGACCATCAAAATAAATAGCATTGATGAGCAACAATGGTACAAGTTAAGTGGTGTGTATGAAGATGAGCGCCCCTGTCACATTGCTCCTAGTGTTGGGAGGCATTCAAAAGACCATGAAACACCAAGCTTCTACTATCAAAACTTATGGCAGTCTTACACAAACGGTGAGCTGGATTGGTGTCGTTTATAAGCCAGCCACCCGTCACAAGTCACCTGTACAATTGAAATTGGATTTTACACAGTCATAATTTTGTTGAAGTAGTGCCATCTCAGATGCACAACCGATTCATACGATGCGTGCACTCCGAATCTGAGAAGTCATTACTTGGAGTATATGGAAACGCGCGTGGGAACGACGAGACAAGATTTTGAATGACGCTAATTCCTCACTCATTTGCAAACTAATTTGGTTCTTTCAACCCAGCTGTGGATTTTCAGCAACCTTAAGAAAAAGACATTACAAAGACGCTAATTCCTGTCTATGTGAGGGTTCACCACATTTGTGATGATGCACCCGTAGCTGAGCGCTTTAGACTTCAACTAATAGCAAGGGGATTGTGGTGTTGAGTCTTCTTGGATATTTTAAAAATGCACTCTGTTGATGAGTCCAAATAGCAAGTAGGAGGCTTTACAATAAATCTAGTTATTTTTACACAGACTGGCTTCACTTACAAGACGAAATCTATATTGGATGTGATAACCTTGCAGCTCTCTCATCAAAGGAAAATTCATACAGCCAACACGCCTGAAAACGTCCATGGATGTGAGTGCCGGCCACTTGAGGTGAATTGTCTATTTCGTCAGCTGCTCTACGATACCGGGAAATCTGGTCTTAAATCAACTTTTCCTAATGGACATGCTCCGTTTGAAGCAAACCGTATGATCAGCGCTCTGCTCTTCGCCGAGTAGCCGAACCAGAATAACCACACCCAGATAAGATAACGAAAGATACAACTACAGTGATTTATGAACAAAATCTACGGCTCTCGCAGACTCCAGCGAGAATAAAAACGCTCACTGATCTCCAATTCTAGAAAGCCGAGCCAAATTATGGACAAACCAGGATAGTTGTTTGCAGAAAATTTGAACCACCCAAAAATATCTTGCAAATTAAGAACGCGGAATGAGGTCAAACATATTCAACAAAATGTCGCAGTATTCCGCACTTATCAAATAAACACTAAACGAACTTGAAAACATGTCTCGAATGAATAAGAGCCCAGTTTAACTCAGTGACATAGGTTGAAAACTCACTCTAATAGGAAAACTGAAATCGCCTCAAATTGAGACCGAAAAAGTTCACTAGTTCTTGTACACATGTTTCAGAGCGTAAGGCTGTGATGCTGCCTCCATAGGCATATACAAGCACGAAGTAGGAAATTTGAAACTTAGCCCAGACCGGTTCATCGTGACTGACGAAACATGAGCCTCACAACTCGCACATGTCCTACTTGGTTCGGAACACAGACTGACTAAACAATAATATGGAGGCCGTTATGATTGTTATAAGTGCATTTGATTGCACCCAATAAGTTCACGGTTGACGTCAGTTAGGAAGGCTGTTACTTCAACGAAAATGAGCTGGTTAGTCTAAATCCTCAGTAGTTGGATGTCTGGTCACTATTTGTGCGATTCACCTAGTTTGGCGAGCACTACCAGAGGGACAGCTAATAAAGAATCGCAAAAATCCAGTTAATCACTGTGTTTGCTTTTCAGTATCAGACTGGCTTTGGTATCTGCGTGAATATAACGTGAAGTGATATTTAGGTAATCAGGTTTTATCTCTCAGGCATATACCATTTGAGCCGTAAATATGACACACCTTTGAATTGGCCAAAGGCTGGTATGTCTCTGTGGTTTAAACCCATTGGAGAATGATATTTAGCGAAATGGACGGAGATTGTTTGAGCCCTCAGGTAAATGTCAAGACTATGTAAAAGTATTAGTATTGCGGACACCTTGACTGAGGTTCGACTAAGTGTAGAACACTATAGCTATCTGAGCGGCGTCTGTGATTGGCCACACCGAAGTGACACACCAATTTGGCTTAGCAAGCGTAAATTTCAGAGGGGCCTGAATTTGCGGGCAGTACTCCCGTAGGACCTACAAAATACACTCCATGGGTGTTGGGGCTTTTCCTTCCCATGACATAGCACACTAATAAAGGTCCCTGTTTTGTTTATCCGTTGACTCATTTTTCGTCGAGTTTTTTCGGTATCGGCCACAATTGCGAATGGTACAAGGCGAATCGTTTGTCTTTGCATAATCACTTTTTCATAAGAAATCTCGTTTTGATTTTTAATATGTACATTATTATTTTATTACTATCATATTATTATTTTATTATTATGTATATGCAGGTGTAGATATACGTCCGTCAAAAGCTCCACTATCCGGAAAGTTAGAAGGTTGAACTTTTGAAGGACAAACATGTAAGCAAACAGTAGTTTGATGGATGTTATCTTTATGGTGTGATTTTTCCCATACCCTAACGATTTGTTCGCTCATGAGTATTTCTAATTTTATAGACACATTAGTAGTAATGAGGTGACCAGAATTAATATTCCAAGGGTTCCTTGTGGTGTTAGGCCAATATATAAAACAGGAGGTGCGATGAGATCTGGTTGAAAACCAGGGAGATTAAACTAATGTGACCAAAACTTCTGTTCAGAAATAATTCACATCTCTAATTGTTGAGCATGCGTTGCAACCCACAAAAACAGTCTGCTGTCGACTAGCAACACGCGTATTGCTCTGGCGAACGAAAGATTACATAAGAGAAGAGATAAAAATGAACGAAAAGTGATTTATAACCATAAAGTCCTAACAATGCGGCAAATTTATTTTTACGCTTGTACAGACAGTAAAAATTCTAACGTTGCTTTAGGAAGCCCTTTTTTTGGAAATTCCGATTCATAACATAATAGAATACTTGTAAGTGCGCGGGTCTGGAACTATATACTGAGTGAAATTTTCGTAAATATTTTTTTCTGGTTAAACTGAGATATTCAAAATCCGTTGCATTAGGCAAACTGAAGCAAAAAATAGTTTGTCCCCTCCGCAGATCTAACTGACTGATTTTATCAGCGACGTTAATTTGGCACGCAGTTGTGGGTACAGCTCGTGTCGTGTCATGTTCAGATAGTTCCCTACTTTAGGTGCAATTCAAAACCGTTTATCTTCACGTGTGTTTATAGTTCGAACACAGTGGTCTGGAAGATTAATCTTAGCTAGGTCATAAGCTAGCCAGCAAAAGCAGATATTTTTGAAATCAGCCAAATTTATTTTAAGTTCTTAATTTTGGAGATCCCACTTTGACAAAGTCTCCAGTTACATGAATTTTCATTGCCTGACTGCGGAACCGAATGGATGAACGGTAATTGCCAGATTTTTTTAAAAAAAACTTGGTTGACTTCCCGGACATAGCTGTGTTCGTCTGGGACAGTGAAAGTAGGGCGAGAGGAAATCTCCATTGTTGGTAAAAAGGAAAAAAACGGTTAAACATGTGTTTATTATCAGTTTGATAGATAATATCGTTGCAATGTCTTTGGAATAGGAATAATGACCTTCATTCGGCTCTACAAACTTATGTGTTCCCTCGTCCAACGTACCATTACTGATAATAATTATGCTTCCGAAACCGGTAATTTGTTTTCCCCTATTTTTCTACAGGAAAAGGAGCAGCTTCAGTGTCTACTTCCCAACCATTTTGCAGTATATTTAGCAGGCGAAACGCATCAGTTGTAACACTTAGTTCTAAAGATGTCTGGAGAACACCTCAAAATTTCTACTGGAAATCATTTTGAACACCCGAATTTCGTGGCTAGAATTAAAGCGACCAAACATAAAGACCAAACAATGATCCCCGATGAAGGGTATTTAAAGCGTACAAACGACAGAGGGGTGGTGCAAGAACCATCACAAGAATGGTCTTCAACCTCTGTGGAATTGCCGCGCGATCTAAAAGGGTATACTGCAGACGGGCACGAGGAAGATCCCATCGCTCAACGTCTGCCCGAACATGAACACCAGTGCGATCTACTTGATACAGGCACTCGGGCGCCAAAGAGATATCCCACGACCAGTGAGCCGTGTCACATATTATCTGCTCAAAATGAGGGATACGATTTAATGGACATCCAAATGGTTCCGGATTTACTTGATCCAAAGTTATCAACAGAGACCAGCAGTAGGGATGTCTCTGGAAAACTAAATGGAAACGAGACGAATCCCACAAAGGAAAAAAGAAAAAATGTGAAGACCCCGGCTGAACTGGGTATTGATCATGTAGAAAGACCATTCAGTTCTTTTGATGGAACCAAGAATACGAAAATCGTTAACAGACGAGGTGGAAGAAATGTTGGTCTTCCAAAAGAACACCAGGGCCAATTAACGAAGATGGATGATTTGAGTAATCTACCTGGTAAAAAATTTGAGGTAGAGCATTTTGATGAGTGTAAGTCGATATCAGAAGATTATGGTGGCCAAACATCCACAAAACCACAGATGTTCTTTCCGAAATGTGACGCTAACTTAGAACTTAAAGACAATAAAATTTTTCCTGTTGCAGCCTGTGAGCTGAGTAATTATTTGCTGGCGTATCACACTTGGCTGGCTGAAGACGTTATTGGACTGTTTCAAGGTTCTTCCCAGCTTGTTTGCCATCCTGCATCTGAATATAAAGATAACGTCGAAAAAAGAGTGGCTCTGATCGGAAAAAGTTCAGCATTAGGGGTGAAAAGTGTAGTAAACGCTAGTGAACTCAATACTTATTCCATGGAAAACTTCAAAATTGATCATTCAGAAGACTGCACTTTGTTAGCAGATAGTGAAGTAACATTGGTACCAGGTGAGAGTGGATTAAGGACTCTATCGGTGGATACCAGAGTAGATTCGGTTGAAATCGAAGTCCCCGGTACAAGGGACGCGTTTAATGACCTTTCCATGGACCTGCAGAAAATTGATGCGCAATATGCTGCTCCGTTTGTCCCAAATAAGCGTGATCCAAAAATTTCGAAACAACTCCCGGATGAACAAGTTACCGACGTAAGAGAAAGGCTGACTTCAGTTGTGTCGGTGGAAAGACAGGACCTGAAGTTGGTGTATGAGTGTGCCCAATGTTCACCCGCAGAAGCACCGCTAAAATCTTTTTGTGATTCACGCCTGATGATAATCAAAGATCTGCCGTATGAGAACAAACCACAACCAAATGCAGCTCCAGTCACTAAGAGGCATAAGAGCCAAACCTCTGTAAGCAAACTTGGTGATCACCTTTTGACGGAGTGCGATAACGAGCAATTTCTCCATAGAGCAGAACACGAAAGGATCGCAGGAAAAGAGGTTTGGCCTGATGATTATGCGATGCCGGAAACCAAGGCATCAGGGGCTGCGAACGACTTGTACAACGGTGTGTTAGCCAAGTTTGAAGTGTGCTACTTTGATGACATTGATCTTCTGACACCACTAGGTCTTGAAGTGTACGTAGGAGAAAGTGATTGCGAGGCAACCTTGGCCACAAATGGCTCCACAAATCAAAGGATACCAGAGGCTGAAGGAATCTTCAGTGGTGCCTTGCTTAAGCAGAATGGAATGGAGGGTCAAGATGACTCTTTTTTTGTTACCCCCGAGGAACTTCCATGTGGCGCATCTGATGAAAAGGCAATAACCTGTGAGGACGCTATGTGTAGACAGGGTTGCAGGAAGCGTACGTCGGTAGGTATGCAAGACATACTTTACCCTGGTAGTCGCCCGCTAATGAGGGCCATTTCAGATGAATTCAATAATTTCACCGTACTATTAGAAGCTGATTTGCACCTGCCTACTGAACCCACCGAATCTGAGGAAATTTTGTCCTACGGAGATTTCTCCCCCAAAAATAGCTTCGGATTATGCCATATTTTGTCGGATCAAAATGAATGGGACTATTCTGATGAAGTCACCTTTGTTGCAGATTTATCTGATCCAGTTCTTCCTCCAAACCCTGTGAAATACGATGTCATCAATGAGCATGATTTGGGAATAAATGAACCTAATATCAAAGGCCCGGCAGGAGAAAGTGTGCTTTATGATCGGTTATTGACAGACTTCGATTTAATTCAGCCCAATAACTACACATCGGCCCTGGGTAGTCACTTGAATTGGCATACGGAAGACCAGTATACAAAATATTATGCGCACGAAAATAAGCCCACGGGCGATGTCCCTTACACTGAGAACCCTATTCAGACAAATGCCCTGAATTTAGTAGACCGATGTATTGAGAACGGTCTCAGCACCATTGAGGAAGAGGTATCGTTGGTTTGCAAAGATTTTCTGGAATCCATACAAACACATTCAGGCTTTGTTTCTCCACCCATTAATTCAGATGGAGATGAACCGACCACTCTGTATGAGGCAACTTTTCTGCCTGGAATAAAAGCATCTGAAATCCCTGATCCACCAAGTCAGCACGTTGGAATTCCTGTGCACAAGGACTACGCGCTTGTTAATCACCCTACTTTTACATTGCCCTTCACCAATTCGGTCGAAGATAACGTTGTGAAAAAAGCGATGAACTTTGAGAGCTCCCAACTACATGATGACGAAGAAGTCACTCTAGTTTCAATTTCTCATTGTGAGGACTATTCACTGAACCGTGGGGATAAGGAAATCTATTCACCTTCTGAAATGCCAGGTTTAGCCATTAAGAAAAGAGAGATACTCGTATCCCCTCAGCAGCATGCTTCTGAATTCGCTTTTGTTCGGACATCCCGGTCCGATGACGCATTGATGACAAGTGGATATGAACCAAGAATCGATCAATCAAGTAATCGAAAGATTAAATCACGCCCCAATTCCCCAGCTTCATCAGCCGATCCGCATTCTATCTTGGATCCTCCTATTATAGAGCCCGAACATTCCTGTCAACTTATGAATTGTCTACTGAATACTTCCATTTCAAATACTAAACTAATAAACAGTTTTGACAACCGTTCATATCCGGCGGCCTTTCCAGTGGAGACGGACAATCTGAACAACCTGGCTTTCATTCCTGTTTCAGCAGCAGAGATCGCCGCTCGCATCAATAATTTAGTGGAGGGTTTTACCACAGAAGACTCGAAATTGGTCAGTAGAGGTTCCGGAATTATGTGCGCTTTTAATAGCAACTTACGGTGTTCCACTCTAACGAGTGTCCCCAGCACTGATAGTGTCAACGTAAGAAGGCAAATCGAACCAGCTAGGCGAGTTCAGCATAAGGCCCCAGAACTTGCCGCAATGTTGTTAGACCAGGGCATAGCGGTTTTCGATGGGGACGCTCAATATATACCGCAAATACAAAAACCCGTCGTATACTGCACCATAAATTGCGGCTACACATTCACGATACAGCTTGAAGAACCACAACTGAAGTCTCTACGAACTCACTTCCCTCATGTAAATCTCAAGGATGAGAGAAGCTCCAAATCAGTGAATCAGAAATTGGAGAAAACTCAATGGGCCACCAATACAAAGACAAAATGTTCGAGTCCAAAAAGATCCCAAGAGTACAAATGTTGCCTGGGAACATTGACCCCAGCAGAGTTAAAAGTGGTTCGAATCAGACAAAGAAAGTCAGCAGAGCAAGAAGATATAAAGTACTTGCAAAATACCGGAACACCATTGGTTGAAAAGCTGGCCAAATATCACACCACTCGGGAGTTGCCGCTAGAATCCATACATTCACCAGACAGTAGATTTGATGATCTTTCTGCTAGATTATCTTCCACCAGCGAAAGTCACCGGATTTCAAAGACAGGGAGTCACGGTAACCCCGTTCCGCGAAAACGGTTAACCGTCTTAAGTGAAATATCAACCAACGTCTTCATTAAAGGCCCTATTGGATACAGGTCTTTTCCAAGAGCCTTCAAACGCATGAGCAAATTAGATATTCTCTCATCTTCAAATTCTCCGTCACGGTCGAACACGCCCCAAATTTTACACATCTATACGCCAGACTCATTCTTTACCGGTGGCACCAGCTCGGAACCAGAGGAACATCATGGGATTATTGGAAATGGTGCCATTTTGGAACACATGAATACCTCACATTTTGTCCGACATGAAACACCACGCAAACCTTTGCCAAAACCAGTTAAAAATCCCCTATCCTGCAAAGTCCATGCCAACGACAGGGATAGTGACAGAATTACGATGAGATCTGGAAGCTGATACTCCAACGAAGTGACAAAATAATATGCACTGCATCATGCCCAGGGAAGAAATGGCAGAGTAAAATTTACTCCACTATGTGGAATCGGATTAATTATATTTTGATTCACTTTGTACCAGTTGTGTCTTATGTGCTGAGCTACATCACTATGACAGGGCTGGATGGTAACACTAAAGAAGGTTTTGGATTCCCAAGGCCTCAATTTGGGCTAATTAGACCACTCACTGTGTTTGTATATTTTGTCGCCCGCTTTCCTATGCACGTGGACTATCAAACACTATTCCAGAAGCAGCTGTGTTATATTTTAATCAAAGGATTCCTGGCAGCGTAAAGAATTTGCGATAGCGGTCTGGCATCTATCTTCCCATCAGCTCATTAATGAAATACATAAGGAGGTGCTTCTAGTCGTATGTGACCCAGTATTTTGCGATAAAAATTTGTACAAAGCGAGTGTACAATTTTAAATATTGCAATAGCTCAGCTGACTATCCATAAGGTTTTATGATACTCTCGCTGCATTAACTAACATTGTTCTGACAATCTGTGAAACCTTCAAAACCGTTGATTTGGAGGAAAGCCGTAAACCTAGTGCTACAGCATAAGTGAGGTCCCCATTTTCGGCCACGTATTGCCTGCCGTGGACTAGAAACAGCTGGCGTCAACGTTAAGAACATACATTCTCAACTAGATAATACATCAGAGAAATCATTTTTCAGACTATGTCTAACATCTACTACGCCATTTAAGTAAACGTCTCAAATGGGAACTTCTTATCCAGGCATTATTTCGAAGGCTGATTAGGCAGATAATAGCTTAATTGCTGAACTACGTCGAAAATTTCCAGGTAAATCCGCAATGTATTACTGAAAGTGAAACCTAGATAGCACTGCATTTCTCTTTTTTCTCGTGCCTCATCCAAGGTAATCGTTGTCTTCTCTATACTGGTGACATAGAAATGGTCTCAGATGCACTTTCCGAATAAACAGCATAAACTGTTCTGTCGTTTGTGAGAGAAATTGAATGATACTTCATATTTAGTTATAAAGCTCTCCCACCTCCATCTCATTTTAAATATGGGATTCACAACTGGTTAGTCTCGGCGATAAATTTGCCGATACATTCCAATAATAAATCCTGGTAATGTAAAGGTTTCAATCTCCAAATTATCAGGATTTCAGCTCTCTCAGTCTAATAATGACTTCCTCTTGAGTAAGCTATTTCTTCAGCAAGATACAAACTTTACCTGGTTGGTCGCCTTCGGGAGTGGTGGCCACTATATTAGCTGCGTGGGATAAAACCGTACTAACAATCTACTTTTCCAGCTAACCGTTGCAGTGAGCAGTGGATGTGTTTTCTTCGGCTTACGGTGCTTTGGAGCGTGACTAATGGGGAGGACAAGGAATGAATTATTCTTAAGGTAACAAGATCCTGTTGCTTATGAACATATCTGGACTGCATCTGGATCACAAGCACAATCTTAGTATGGTTTTCTGGACGGTTTTTCGGTCACTTGAGTGTTCAGTTTCCTCAGCAAACGAGAAACCGTTCATTTGAGATCAAGGCAGGTTGGTCAAATGAGTAGCCGAGGGTTGGTTTTCGTTATTTCTTCTGCCCTGTGTATTGCATTAAAGCTTATACCGTATTTCTTTACATTCTTCCATATGTGAAACTTCAGTTAAATACGGTTAACAACAGGGAATGCTTGGATAGAAGACGAGAGCTTCTTTTTGGTGAACGCGAAACCAATGTAGCGTGTTCTTCATAGAAAACGTTCAACCGTTAAAAGGCAACCGTGTCTTGACTATCTGTGTATTTCGCATAAATTTAGACTTACCTTATCGAAAAGCCTTGTACGTGCTTCACTGGTTGGCTTGGCCGACGACTACCTACCCTACATGAGCTACCAACACTTTCCTCCGTAGATTATCGATAGTTATTAGAACATATATCCAGAACCTCCCGAAGAATCTCATACACACATCATATTTAACCCAGCAGATTTCTCCTCGTACTTTGCAATTTTTTAGCTGGCTTATCGAACGTTTGACAAGATACAATGGGTTTGTTTGTCATAATAATTGGCAGTACAACCTCAGTGCTCCGCTGCCGCACAACCAGAATTTATTTGAAGGGAACATTGTGAAGAAAAGGTCAGAAGGGGACGGGTGAGGGAGTTAGTAGTAGCCTACCACAATCCTTCCGACGTGCCCACACCTCCAGACAGTCATTCAAGCAATCTGAATAGAAACTGACATCGATTAGTAGCTAATGAGACGCAATGAGTATCACGATGTCTTCGTCTTAGAAGGTGAGTCGTATTAAGAGCACCCAGACATTTTGCAATCTCTTACATGGCCCTCAGCCAACCCAAGGGTTGGCCACCATTCTGCTTCCGACACTCTGAAACGGGCACGGAAAACAGCATTTTCTTCGGCAACCGATTGTTCGTTGCGCGCAATGCACGACCAAACCAACGCTGATTCTGGTTCTGGATACATTATTTAATGGAAGTTCCTTTTGCACAATCGAAAACTCGCTTTCAAACCGCCTATTTACGGATTCGCTGACACCCATCGAGGAGAGCTATGGTTCTGAGACAACCATTCTCAAGAACCTGCAGATATCTCGGTTACGCTGCTCAAACAGGCCAAGTCTCACAGCCATGCAACGAAAAACCGTACTGTAGACAACCGCATACCTCCATTGAGATTACTGCAGATATTCGGTTACGCTGCTCAAACAGGCCAAGTCTCACAGCCATGCAACGAAAAACCGTACTGTAGACAACCGCATACCTCCATTGAGATTAATGGACATACCTCTTTGCCACCACACGTGATTCAATTTACTGAAGTCGCGACCTGAGCTTTACAGATTCGTGAATTGCAAGTATCGTGTAAAATGACTGCAAGTTCAGAAGTACTGCCTCGGTTTTTGTGTATGTGACGCATGCGAAGGAGGATATAACATTAGTTAACTTATCCAAAAAAATCCGCGTCTTCTTTCCTTCTTCGAAGACGAAAACGATACCATCTACGTATTTCAGAACAAGGATTTCCTCAGCAGCTATCGGAACAAAAGGGTGTTCAATACATTTCAGCGTTTGTTTTGAAACGGAGAGAGTACAAACATGGCAGACCTCTTGCATGTACGGAAGATTCTGGAGAGCTTTTTTATAGTTCCAAACGCCCGGAAATCAGAGAACTTATTATACTATTTTATACCTTTGTTGTTATGTTTGCTCATCACGAGGCTCTTTTTTGAAAGTGTGCAGTATCGTCTATTCTCTCAATTTGTCAAGGACAGTCTAGTTTACCAAATACCGGCCAGCAGATCAGAGAAGCGTTGATTGAGAATTTTAGCCCATTCGTTGAATTATGCGGATTGGTGGTCAACCGGATCAGAAGCTCAGTGATGCTTTAGAACACGTGCAGTCATGAAACTCCGAAGCCTTACGGGGTTCCAGGCCCATCATCCAGGGCTCCACTTTAGCCACAGGCTCCAGACAACTGACAGCGACTGGTCATGAAAATAGTTTTTGAATTATTTGGTCCAACGGTTGAGAGGTTTTCCTCTGTTTGAGATGGTCATACCATTTTGATCCATGATGGCCTCGCTTGCAGACGGCTTCCGGGGGCGGTTTGCACGGAACAAACGATATAATCTCCAGGCACTCCATGTTTTCTGACCCTCTTTCAAGCCCAAGTTCGCGGTCGGCTCGCATGCTCACTTTCACTTGACGTCCGATAATTTGTCAGACCAAATTATCTTCGGGACCGGCCCGCACATTTCTCCGGCATTCAAGCAGTGACAACTTCTTGTATGGTACCTTATGCCTGAGCAGGCCTGGTAGAACCGTGCAACAGGAAAAGCCACCAGCACTGTGAAATAACGCGGCAGTCTCCTTTCAGCATGAATGCACATCTGATGGCGAAGCATTTGGAACAGACTCTTGAAGAAGATTCTGTAAAATTCCTCAGAATCCGGATTTGCCGGTCTTAGTTTCTAAGCAACTTGTCCGCACCCTACGCGAAAACGAAGACAGAAATCTGAATGAGTGCGTTGGAAGAATCCGCAAATGTCATCCAGAACGAGTGACTATCATTTACTGATTCACCCCATCGGCAACTGATTACTATGTGACGAATTTGAGTTTGTAGGCGGCACGCTTCTGGAAGACAGACAAGCTTGATAAAGGAAGCTACTCAAAAGGTTGCTGAAAACTCTTCGACATGCCACGACAGGTTTCGTCCTTCTTGGGGCTCATCAGGTAGGCGCAGTCCCCGAGTTTCCGTCAACCTTATGATCTGCTTGAACCAAGACGAGCTTGGTTATTTTGAAAGTTAGTGCTGCACACAACAGCATACAAACCAGCTAAAGCACTGGTTCGACAGTGTTCTTAGGTACGAAGTTCGGTTCGTGTCGCCTTCGAAAATGAGTCTCAGATGAGCTGCGCTTGCTGACTGGCGCATTCAGATATCCGGTGTAACAGGGCGCTCAAGTCCTGTTGGAGCGTAAGTAGACATAGCGAACCGAAAGCGATCAACTTTCCCCTTGTGAGACTCCTTCACATATGTTGCCAGATGAACTGCCCTTATGTGACTATTAACGAGTATCCAGGCAAGCAAGGATCCTCCATACAGCAGCAGCCTCTGAACCACCAGAGGTACCCAGAAAGAAGCGAGTGAACAGTGATCAAGCAGTTGTCTCAAACACTGTGTTTTCATCTTAAATCCTTGTTTCTCATACACAGCACACATCAATTTCAAGCGAGTAATGTGTGAGATAAAAAGCGGGTTGCCTCCAAGTGCAAATAGTGAAAGCGGCCGGATAGACGTGGTGTCAAGGATTGAAGATGAATCTGCCTGAGTATATCAGCGCCGGATAACGCACAGGCGCTACCGTCACAACTGAGGAAGGACGGACGTCTCAAATGGCCGGCTTACAGGGAGAGAGTTATTAATGGGGTGGGAGGAAAGGAAAGTATTTGAAAAAGAAAACAGGGAAGCAGCAGCAGCCTGTTTCCACTCGTTTTCCCTGCTATGTGCACCAAGCAGGGCGGCGCGGCTGATGGCCCCACGCGACGTTTGATGTGGAATTATTCGTATGTGTATTCACTGGTTGAACGGAGGGTGCGATAATGCCAAGGCGCTAACAGCGAGCCAGGAGGACGATTAGGGTCCTCGACAAAATCTAAGAAATCTGACTGCAATGTAAAGACGTTTGGAGGGGAAGTAAGTACACTGCCACTTTTACGTGTTCCAGATCCAAACTTGAAGGCCGAAAGACCATGCTAATCATGCCTCTAACCACTGACTGACATGGTATGAGAAAGTGCGAGTGTCGCACGGATACCCCCAGTTTGATTCAGTAAGTAACACTTGCAAGGGGAGATGGTGTTGACTTGAGGCTTAAATAAACATTTTATTCACGATCAATACTACGGTTTCCGTCACAATAAGGGAAAGTAATCCGCTGAGGAGACTTTTGATTCACCTCAGTCATGAAACACGCTTCGTGTTACCTATTTGGTTCACAGACAACCCAACAAGGCGACATATTTGGATTTCTCAGTATATCTGTTTTCAAATGATCATGAAGACGAGCTTGGTTATTTTGAAAGTTAGTGCTGCACACAACAGCATACAAACCAGCTAAAGCACTGGTTCGACAGTGTTCTTAGGTACGAAGTTCGGTTCGTGTCGCCTTCGAAAATGAGTCTCAGATGAGCTGCGCTTGCTGACTGGCGCATTCAGATATCCGGTGTAACAGGGCGCTCAAGTCCTGTTGGAGCGTAAGTAGACATAGCGAACCGAAAGCGATCAACTTTCCCCTTGTGAGACTCCTTCACATATGTTGCCAGATGAACTGCCCTTATGTGACTATTAACGAGTATCCAGGCAAGCAAGGATCCTCCATACAGCAGCAGCCTCTGAACCACCAGAGGTACCCAGAAAGAAGCGAGTGAACAGTGATCAAGCAGTTGTCTCAAACACTGTGTTTTCATCTTAAATCCTTGTTTCTCATACACAGCACACATCAATTTCAAGCGAGTAATGTGTGAGATAAAAAGCGGGTTGCCTCCAAGT